ATGATATAAATGTTTTTATGGTGAATGGTGCAGGGATAATTCTGCGTCCAATAAATGTTTTTTTAAACCAGCTCCGAGGATGCTTTTCATAGAGATATTTGTTCGACTGCCACATTATAATTGCTTCACTAGTATATTCATGCAAAGATTGATAGTTAGATTAATCTCATCAAAATGTTAAGCTTTTATAATCTTCTCATGGACCCCTTTTACTCTCTCATACATAATAAATGCAGCTAAAAGTCAGCCTCACTGAGCTTTAGCTTAGCACAGTAGCATGCTAGCCCCATATGAAGCTGCTGCATGCCACCAGACAATGAGCGCTCTAAGGTCAGCGAGGGTCCGCCCTTTATGGGATTCCTGCCCATAATGATTAATAGGGAAGGTGTAGTTATTGCCTTGGAAGTCATCAGTGGAATGCTGCAGTTAAAGCAGTCATTTGTAATCCAATTTCATTACACCTATGCTTACGTTTTCTCTTTCTTAAGGGATTGTTCTCTTTTTCTCCTATTCAGTTTTTGCTAATGACCAACCCATTATTGATTGGTATTGACAAAAAAAGATTGCTTTGTTCCAGCCTTTCTTATCAGTCTATTCTCTCTCAAAGCAGTAGAAATGACAGAATCCCACCACTACTGGCGGCTTCAGACCAAAAGTCCATTTAGTTTTGTTGTCACTTTGTGAAAGGTTAGGCTTCTGTAATCTTGTTTATGTTTTTGGTCACGAGTAAGCCTCCCTAAGCCAGCTTTGTGTCCAACACAGCTGGAGAGGCCTTCACAATTTCAGCAGAGCAGAAATAATTGGTCCATTGGCTGGGAGGCAGCCATGACACACAGGTAATGTTTAATGTCTGTCTCTCAGCTGGCGATAGCAAGATATTTATACTCTTTGTGTTGCCTTGGTAAACATGGATATACAATGGTATGGAGCACTTTTATAGAAGGCATTTTGGTTTGGTTTTTGTGCCAAATGTGATAATTCCCCAGTTGGGGTTAAATGGTGACCTCCTGGAATCTTCAATGAAGTACCTTTTATCTTTTCCCTTTGTTTGTTTTTTTCCTGCTGTGCATCATCTATCCCTGCAAAAAAAATGCTCATGCTCATCCAGTAGTTAATAATAACCTTTCCTTCTATACAATAACAGACCCGAGAGAAACCTTTTCCCCTCAATTTAGCCCTCTTGACTCTGAGTACACTACCTCCATCTGACGGGGACTTTTGGATTGGAAAGTCTGTCGTAGCCACTTTTAATTATACTGGCAGTAAAGGATGAAACTGAGCGGGGATGAAGTGCTTTTTGTGCATTGATTTTCCTCCGGGTACATAGATGCACTGGAGAGAGGGAGAGACAATTGTAACCTCCTTGATCGCTGCACTGCAGGAAAACAAAGGGGGGGCTCCATGCAAAGGCCCTGCTTTCTTTTTAGTATAATGAGAGCATGTACATCAAACCAACCTCCTCATCTAATTAGGAAATTCCATTGAATAAGAAAGCAACTCTGGAAAGAGGCCACACAGGCACTTTACCTTGATGGAGTTTTGATGGTTTCTGTGATCTGTTTGGACATCTGACAAACTTTGGCCACCCTTTGGCGTGTTTTTTTGTAACCTGGTCGACAAGGTGTGGTTGTAGACGGAGCCTTTGAGCTCTCCCCTAGGGATTTCTGCCTACTCCAGGGATCTTAAGCCTTTATTTTGGCAGAATGTCCCCTCACCTGGGTATCAGGAGAGTGACTGTCACCTTCACTGCCCTAAGGTCCCGGCAGGATTCCTGCAGACCATGAAAGCCTGGCTTTTGTTTGCTTGTTTTCAGATGACGCTTCCCCCTATTTTCCTTGAGAACTTCCTCTGGCTGCATGCTTTGCAAAGTCGCACCAGCAGATGCGACAATTCGTCATGCATAAGAAACCCCACTCCTGCTGCCATCTGTCCACTTGTGTCATTTACCATGCACTGCCAGTTTGTTGTGGTACCCATTACCCTTATACAATTTTGATGGCATGCAAAATATGCTGAACCCATCTCACGACCTCCCAACCTCACTCTTTAAAAACGCATTCCCAACCTATGCGTGACACAGGTAACAGAAACCAGAAAATATACGGACTGTCACCACATTTAGCCTCTGAGGCTTGTGGATACGTTTGCCATTTAGTGGCCCGGTATACTGTTACCTCCACTGGATGGCTGGAATGAATTATTACGGCCAGTCAAACTGAAATATTACTTTCCCCGACATGATTCCTCGATGACCTAACAAATTCAACATGCCAAACCATATCAGATAAAAAACCTAGGAGGGATTGCTTTAACTACTTTAGGAAATCATGCCACATTCAGGAGCCATGTTTACCTACAATAAGAAAACTAAAACACAATGGAAATAGGCATGAAACAAATACAAGAACATCAATATTGGACTTTTTCTGTAAAATGCTTAGACAGCTTAATAATTTGGCTATGGCAAGAACAATTAGACCAATTCTAATTATTAAATAGCAATCACATTGCATGTATGTGACTGGATAGATTTATTCCTAATACTATGGACTGTAGTTGGACAAGAAATTGGAATTACACATAAAACGTCTGATAATATATCCAATTACAATAGGGAAACTGGGGCATAAGAACACTGAAACAATAAGGGAATAAGGTGTTTAACCAACCAAAGAACATCAATATTGTACTAGTCTGCAAAACACTTCTTTGTAGAAAGCAACATTATCGTGTTGCTGTAGTTACCCTAAATGTTGGAACAACACCTGCATTGTGAGCTCTGGATTCTCTAATATGGACATTGGGATGAATGTGTGCCAATGTCTCTGCTCTTGTTGTAGCTGCTTCAAAGATCCCACTCCATTAGTATGCAGCTCCTGTTTCAGCTGAACATCGAGCACTGGTAACCACAGCACACTGCTGCTCACCAGTATGATTGTTTCTGGTTTCTTCTCCCACCCCCACCCCACCTTTTATTCCCTCTTTCATAGCCGCAGTCCCCCTTTTCCACTCGCATTGCAGTTCCCAGTTCAGATTGACATTTCTGGTGACTTAGAGGTGGGATTTGAGGTGCTTTAAGAGTGAAGCATAAAGGTCATACATACTTTGTTCTGTACAGCAGCAACAGCATACTGGAGAAGAGAGGTGGACAAAGTACTAGTAGAAATACTGAAGTGTTGAAATACTCTACTAGAAATAAAGACCTGTGAGATACAGGCATGAGATCCGGTCTTGGGTAGAAATGTCAGATTATTTGACTAATGTGAATCTTGAAATATTTTAATTTTCTTAATTTTCCAAATGCTTCTTCTTCGTGACATTGTGTGGCCTTGCATCAGCAATGCTAGTTTTTCTTTCTCCAACTATTCACTCACTTCAATCACATATGCTCATTGCTGGTGACCTGATGGCAATCTCTCTCTGTGTTCAGGAAGAATTGAACACATTTTCACAGCCTATATTGCAACATTAAAGCAGCCACATGCCTTCACCTCAGCCACTAACATAAAATAATGTAGTGCAGGCTCACAGTGATAGAAAGGTGCCTATCATTCTTTTGCAGAGCTTTTACTCCCCTCTGGGCGACGTGTTTAATATGACTCCACAAATGTGATTTAGTGGGCAGATAGCCTCGGGATTCAGAGGTCGCTGCCTCAGAGAGGCCTCCTGTGTGTAGTATGTGGCACCGACGTATGTAGGTTAGGTTATCTTTATAGCGAAAGAATCCTAACAGAAAAGCTACAACCACCAAGGGCAGAAAACATTTACATTTTTCCAGATTATTTCACAATGTCCAGCAGTTTCTTCCATCTCTATTTCCTGAAAGCATTCTATTTCCGAACATCAAATTCACATTACATGTTTTCCTTCTTTTCTCATCCCTGCCCTTTCTATATTCATCCTCTATTCAATTACTTTTCTGTTTCAGCAGAGGTTCTGTCTATACTATATTGCTCTGCGATGCGTGGTGCTACCCCACAGATTTATGTCGGAGCTGAAGGATGGCTGTCCAATTTTCTGCATGGATAGCAGAGCCGGTGGCATTGTGTGTGTTTTAGAGCTCTTGTCAGATGTGCGTTAAGGACGTATGGAGCACACAGCCATGTAATTCTTCCAGACAGTGGCCATTTCTGTCACATCATGCCATTAGCTTGTGTATCGCAGTGATTTGTGTGTGTGTGTGTGTGTGTGTGTGTGTGTGTGTGTGTGTGTGTGTGTGTGTGTGTGTGTGTGTGTGTGTGTGTGTGTGTGTGTGTGTGTGTGTGTGTAGTGTAGTAGTAGTGTAGTGTAGTGTAGTAGTAGTAGTAGTAGTAGTAGTAGTAGTAGTAGTAGTAGTAGTAGTAGTAGTAGTAGTAGTAGTAGTAGTAGTAAGTAAGTAAGTAGTAAGTAAGTAAGAAGTAGTAGTACGTAGTACGTAGTACGTAGTAGTAGTAGTAGTAGTAGTAGTAGTAGTAGTAGTAGTAGTAGAGTAGAGAGACGTACGTAGNTTAAGTTAAGTTAAGTTTAGCCTAGCACATTTTAAATACATAAGAAACACGATGACATTGAATTCTGCCAAATGATACATGAATGCCATGATCATGTCAGTGACATGATCATGGCATTCATGTATCATTTGGCAGAATTCAATGTCATCGTGTTTCTTATGTATTTAAAATGTGCTAGGCTAAACTTAACTTAACTTAATTATAGATATTTCTTTAAAAAGAAGATACAATTATTTTAGGACATTTGTTATTTAAGCTCCAAGCAGGTTTGGGTGCTTTTAATGGCAGCGGTTGACAAACCAGTATTGATGAAAAAATATATATAGTATAGTATAAAGGATCAATAATACAGGATGTGGTTTTTAACAAACTCACATAGCATGTTCTTAAAACTAATCAAAAAATGTGTTCTATCTATGCCCTCGCAATGTCGCACCTTTTATCTGATACCACTATCATCAGAATGAAATTGCACTTGAAATAAATACAAATGTTTTCTGATCTGACAACGCTATGGCTAAGGTTTGGGTAAGTATGTCATAAAAACATTGTGGGTGGTGTTAGCAGTTGATAATGGTTTGGGTAACAATAAGCACCTGGTTAAGGTCATGGTAGAACTGGTAAACGGAAATCGGACGCTGGTTGGTTCTCTTTAGTTGGGGCTGTTTATTATTTCATAATTTTCATGGAAATTATGAAATAAATGTTCACTACATTTCCTTTTTCACACCAAATAATTATGATTGATCAAGAAAATAATCAGACAATCAATTAAAGTGGACCTATCATGCTATATTTGAATAATATAGTGTAGGACCATGCCTATATAAGGCATATTTATACTTTTTATTTTTCAAAATACCAAACAGATCATGCATTTTAGCCATTCCTCATTTCGCTCAATTTAACACTGTCTTTGCATGGGCTGATTCTGTGAGAACAGCACCATCTACAGGCCTGGCATATGTACTACAGCGTCTCCAGCGCTTTCGAACGGCGATGTCCGTGGCTGTCTCCTCCTGATTGGTGGAGTTGGCCCAATAGCCGTAGCGCCACTTCTGTGACGTCATAGAAGTGTTCAAATCTGGATCAGTCTGTATCAGATCCGTTGCAGCCCCTTTTTAAGAGATTGGGGTATGGAGGAAAATAGAGAGGGTTGTGTTTTCTGACACTTGGTGAGTTCCCTGGAACACCGGGGACACATATTCATGTATAAAAGACGTACAAAAGTGCATTTTGCATGATAGGTCCCCATTAAGTCTGTATTAACTTGGCTTGGGAACCAAAAGGTCGCCAGTTCAAGTTCTGATTGGACCAAAATACAGAGTTTGTAGCTGAAGAGAAGAAGAAGAATCCGCTTTGTTAACCTTCTAGGGGAAATTGTCATATAACACAGTAAAAATACACACATGCACAAACACAAGATTTTTTTTATGGAGAGGTGCCAGAGCAAAAAGCCTAGTATCTTTTTACGGCACCAGGGAGCAGTTGGGGTTTCAGTGCCTTGCACACCTCTCCAGTGCCATGGAGGTGAACTGTCACCTCTATAGCTAATATCTTGGATATATAAAAAGCAGTAATACTTTACCCTTACTCCAGCTTACGACAGCATTTTTGATTGTCCAGTTACCCCTGTTTTACATGTTTGGAGAAAGAGAGCTGTAATCAAAGTATGTCTAATGTCAAACAAGTTAGAAAAAAGAAGATGAGCAGTGAGTATTTCTGATAAATGTTCAAGGTTTATTATAAAATATGCTAAATCATCGTGCTTCGTCTTCTCTTAACGGATTTTCTTAAGGTAATCCACTCCCCAGTGGCTCTTTCCAAACAGAAGACACTCATCCTTCAAAGCTTATTTATTTTCAATCAGCTGCACTTAGCTTTTCTCCGCTTTGTTTGAATCGGGCATCATATTTTCATTTACCTTCATGATTAACTTTTGAATGATCACCTTGAAGGATGAAGATGCTGCTGTGAGAGCGGAGGACGCTGATGAAGAAGCGCTGACCTCGGGGAGCAGCTTTGAAAGGACGATCACAGTCGTGAAGGGCAACTCCAGCCTGGGTTTGTGTTGATTTCTTCACGTTTTGATTTGTTATTATTTTATTTATTTTTCGACTTATTCTTCATAGAAGTGTAAATTAGGTTGCATGACTGAAAGGAGAAATGGCCTTTTCTTTTGTGTCATTTTGTCTTCTGAATGCCAGCTAAAAAAGTTAAAATGATAGAGAGGTTTTTGTCTGTTTTTCACTCTGAAAGGATCCTTTCAGAGGATTTGCATTTCAAAACCCACCCATGGGGCTGCTGCTGGCTCGGAGCATGCTAAGTTTTAGCTTCTAAAACAAATAGGCGTTATGAAGATTTCCAGTGCCTAGTTTTGCTTTTTAGCCCACTGAAGGTTTCTCTTTTATGCTCAATTCAACATTTCAACAAAATACATTTGGGTTTTGTTTTTATAATCTTTAAACCATGTGGAGTTCAACCAAAATCCACTTTTAAATGAAACACTGATGTTATGCTTATGTACACTGAGTTATAAGGGAAGAGGTTAACATTTCCACATACTCCATTGAAATTCAAATGTGTTAATACTGTGGGGTTTTGGACAATGTGCGGGGAAATATGTAAATTAATAAAAATACGCTATTATTAAGTTATTCAAAAATCTTCCTTGGGAAATACCTACTTTTCGATCTATACTCTCAGTAATGGCGGAATTAAGTCAATTTCTGGTTAATTTAGATCCAAACCCAATTTCAGAGTGTAACAGTTTCTTCAAATCTACCTGAAGGGATGACTGTGAGCGCGATGAAGGCCAGTCTGGGGATGCTGATCCGCAGCATCATCCACGGCGGCTCCATCAGCCGGGATGGGCGTCTGGGGGTCGGGGATCTGATCCTGGCCATCAACGGAGAGCCCACTGCTCACATGACCAACGCTCAGGCCCGAGCCATGCTGCGACGACACTCACTCATCGGACCCGACCTGGGGTGAGACACATGAGACACACACACACACACGTTACTGCAAAGGGGGTGTACGGCTGCACCACAAATGCAACAACAGGTAGAGGTTTTAGTCCTAATAAATACAAAAAAGTCAGATCTCTGAAATGTTGTTATGTTTAATGTGAAGCTGCAACTATTAGTCACTCAAAAATAAAAAGTATCTCCAAGTATTTTGTGCATGAAGTTCAGAAAAATATTGCTTTAACCTTTTTCTGTTTTGTATCATATTAGAGGAAATGTCTTTGGGTTTTAGACTGATAAAACAAGACATCTTAAGACTTCACCTTGGACTAGAATAAACTAAAATCTTTCACTGTTGCCTTTATATGTCTTTTCTATCTTCATCCCTGCAGTCATCACAGCCCACTTTAAATTTGATTTTTGGCCTTGATTTTATAGACCAAACCATTCATTGCAATTACAGCATTTGGTAAACATATTTCCAAGCATTCATTCTCTACTGCAAACATGAATTTACTGAAATTCAGTGAGAAAGCACGAAGTTCATACCAAGGTCTAATGAAATATTTATTTTCTACTGAACAATGAATGGTGTGGAGATTCTTAGCATTTCTTCAGAATAACTCGAGAACCTGAAGAGAGATGCCTGTTATTTTCCTACAGAGCGAGGCACCTCATGGTCTAAACTCAATTACATTAGGATTGCATCATTGCCAAACAAAACATATGAATGTCTTTTATGAGGCATCAAATGTATTTAAATTATTTGATTTGATTTAGATTAATAATATTTAAAATATTTGTATTGGAATTGATGTTGCGTGTCTATTGTTTCTATTAACTGGGTAATGAAAAGAGTGTTTGTTGTTTGTCGCAGAAATGTTGCAGCTTAACTAATCCTAAGAACAAAATTAGGCACATTATGTTACACAACTAGACGATATTCTACATTGGGACGAGGTGTGTCATAAATTGTGCTTGCTGAACTAAACCTGGCCGTTTTTTCACTCCGGGGCATAAATCCTTAAAAAAATTAAATTAAATTAAAAGCTTCTTCACATTCTAGATCTGCTAGTGCACCTGAGGACGACCTGTGCCCGTTTTATGTGTGAGTATGCCTAACGTCCAAGCTGGTGTCTCTCCACGCAGCCGCCATGTTTGTTTTGACTTCCTCTCTCTTGATTTGCTGACGGCATTCATCGCAGTTAAAAAAAGCTTTATCCAGACACGTAATGGTTGTCAAACAATGACAACAGCATAGTCTTATTGTGTAAGATGTCACTATAAATATAATTCAGATATGTTAAATCGCATTTAAGTTATTTTGTAAAGAAAATAACATTAAAGTGTTTCTCAAAATAACTTTAAATCTGTTCACATCTTAACACATACACTATAATAACTGGATAAACCTTGATTGACTGCATCTCTTGCCTTGCTGTTTAACCTTTTCATATTTCTGTGACTAACATATTCACTAATGACCAGTCTAATTTCTTTTGTACCATTTATAACTCCCTGCCTAACCATTTCTCTCACTGCATGCTGTGATGTTTTCATCAACCTCCATTTCATCTTTCACTGGGAATCATCTTTCTTTCTCTCTGTCTGCGTGCATCATGTTTAAAAAGCAGATCAGCCCATCTGTTGACGATCTGTCAGCGTCCTTTAAATGTGTTAATGTGCCCTTCAGCATCAACTTCACTCTGAATTGTTTGGAAGAAGAACTCTAAGTGGGTGTCAGATTTTGTCAGCTAGCTTTTGGTTCATTTCTTAACATGAATTAGTAAGCGACTCATGAATTAATGATGGCTACACCCTGCAGATTTGTCTCACACAGTAGGTGACAGAAGACGTGATGTCTCAGACTTTATGAAGGTAAACATCTGTGTTCCACAGTCGGATCAGTGTTACTGCTCTCTGGGGCTTATGGGACGAGAGAAAGAAGTGTCTGAATATGAATAAAAAGATTGGAAAGAAGCTCTTTAGCTCAATGAAAAAACTCTCGCCAGTTATTCTCTATTTTTGGCGAAATGTGAGTGCCACTAAGAAGGTCATTGGAGGGTGAAGACATTTGCTTTAGGACATGTCTGACTCATTTGTGTGTGCTTGTGTTTGTGTTCATGTCTGTGTGTATGTGTTTAGAATCACATATGTACCTGCAGAGTATCTGGAGGAGTACAAGGCCAGCCTAGAGCAGACTACAGAGGAAGTCTCCGATGAAATCCATGCAGTCCCAGCTCCAGATCCGAAGTATGTACTCATTCTGTGCACAATGACTTGTGTGACGTGCCAGTTACATTTATAGGTGCCCTGTTTGCATGCATGTTTGCTAGGCAGCAGTCTTCCTGTGAGTTTTTGTTTTGTACCTTACTGTTTCCGTTCACCTTGGTATTTTTAGAGATATTCCTAACCTCCCTGAGCGGGAAGATGGAGAGGGAGAGGAGAGTGCCTCTTACAGCAATTGGAACCAACCCAGGAAGTGAGTACACACTGTATGTAATCTAATAATATTGTGAACATTTCAAGGAGGGATATGGTTTTGAAAACTAACACAGTGGATCCACATATTGAATACACTTGAACTACGTGGGATTTAATAAATGACAATCTTTCCCCAACATTGAGTATAAATATTAACAGGTTTTTGTCAGATTCAGTTCTCTTGCAGCTACCTCAAAGACTCCTGTTTTTTTCTGGTTAAAGAAAAGCCTACAGAGACCAAACTGTATTCCAGAAAGAATATTGAGTTTAAATGTGGTGAATAGTCTGTCAAACTAAATAATAAACAATACAAAATAGCAGTGTTCATATGAGTTAACTACAATGATGACATATGCATCAAATAATCAAAGTGATGTTATTATAGACAAAATAAAGGGGATAACGTTTACAGTGACATATCAGTAGAAAAGTGACATTTAAGAAGTGTACAAATAAAAATGCATGTGTTCCTTCCTCAGAGTGGAGCTCTTCCGGGCGCCAGGCAAGTCTCTGGGTATCAGTATTGTCGGGGGCCGGGGGATGGGCAGTCGGCTGAGCAACGGAGAGGTGATGAGGGGCATCTTCATCAAACACATCCTGGAGGACAGTCCTGCGGGACAGAACGGGACCCTGAAGACTGGAGACAGGATCGTAGAGGTAAGGGAAGAATACAGGTGGTAGAACAAGCAGACGTGAAGTTGTGATTTTGAGTAGTTACCTCCTATAGTGTTATTTTATTAAGGTGCAGTAATGTGAGAGAACTGAAAAGAGTTTAAAATCTTTAAAAAAGTAAGGATTCCCCAATATTTTCTGTGACAGGTGGATGGAGTAGATCTAAGAGATGCCAGCCACGAGGAGGCAGTGGAGGCTATCCGCAAGGGAGGAAACCCCGTCACCTTCTTGGTTCAGAGTATCATCCACAGGCCCAGGGTGAGTCCAAATAATAGTCAAACTAACTACCTTATTCTCTAAAGATCATTATCCTTTTCCATTTTCACCTAATGTAGCAGTTCATCTGCACAGGGCCCTTTCAAAAACCCGGTGTGTCAGGTTTGATTTTTGAAATATCCAATGAGAGCAACAACAAACCCTCTGTGTCATGTTAAATAAATTATCAAGTTTTTAACCTCTAACTGCTACTCCTTTGTTGTTTGAAAGTGCCCTCAGGCTTTTAAACCATGACTAAATAGTCCCTGCAGCTGGTGTCAGATCTCAGAGTCAATCGCTTGCATTCAGATATAATGCTTTCCTTAGCATGGCTACTAATTAAGCCTTGTAGCAACTCATAATGTAATGTAGCACATGCAGAGCAATAATTCATGTTAATGGAGAACTAAACTCCACTACAGTGACTTTAAACGGATTTGAGGGAAAAAGCTTTAAAACCCACTGTATGCTAAATAGGGTTAGGCACTAAACAGCAGTCAGACAACAACAGTGGAGTGGTTAGCAGCTATTAGCTTCACTTAGCAGCCAGATGATATTTCCCTTTGGAGCTGGTGAAGACCGATAAAAGAGGAACAAGGAGAGTGAATAGAGAGCTGCAGGGAGGACATTTTATGGTACTAACCCTGAAGTTAGCATCTCCATGGTTCCCACACATTTGTGCACACATCGGATCAGCATTTTCTGACTTTTAAAGTGTAGAGATAGCATTGGGCTATAAAGTAAGTCACTCCAGATTATCTCTGCTAAGCTAAAGCAGCAAATGCTACGTGGGATGACGTTTAATTAACACAACTTTAAATATAGTCACCCTCCAACCGTTCTAAGAGTAAACCTTCATTTATTACCCATAAAACATTGGTTTAACATTTTGGTAAAATCACTTAGTTTTGACTACTCTAAATTACATCAAGTTTTGTGATCTTTAGGCTAACGTTAGCCATTTTCTGCTTCCATTCTGTATGCTGGGTCAAGCTAACCATCTGCCTGCTGTAGCTCCCCATATGGGGATTAATTACTTTAAAGACGTTAAAACCTTTTGTCAATAGTTCACATATCATGTTTGACTACATTATGAGTTGCATTTATGTCCCTCCGCCCTGCTTTCTCAGCCTGTGTCAGTATATAACCCAGCTTGCATGCCACATCGCACATGTCAGGTAATCCTTCCTCTCCATCACACTTCATCTTCATCCCTTCTGCCTCCACACTGTTAGCAAATGTTCTCTCGAACTGCATATTTGACTCGATGTGTGTATTGACAGAAATAAAGACAGCCTAAGAATTGGAGTTTCCTTCCGGGAGAAAAAGAAGCAGGGCTTTTATTTGAATATCCAGACATCCTATTCTGTTTTCTATCACAGGGTAATCTAACGGTAACAATGAGATAACCCACAATGTTGTTTTTAATCAAAAGGGGGGGAAATCTATTGTGTCACAGCATAATAGAAACTCAAAACCTGTGTGTAATGCTGACATTCTATACACATTTAGACTAGAATCCTAATGCAATTTCTCCATGGGGGTTATTGAAATGTCCCCTTATCAAGAAACTCCTCAAGTAAGCAATAGAAAAGCAAATAAAGAAATCATTCATACTGTGTGGCTCTGCGGCTTTCAAAATGTGCTCAAGACTGCAAGACATGCTTTCAATGTACTTTAAAGTCACTGATATTGAGTTGCAGCTCCATTGAAATTCATCACAATGGGCTGAACAGTGTGAGAATTTTTATATTGATTGGGTGATACCTCTAAGTGCTGTAGGCAGGCCATAATGCCGTTTTTTTTAAATGCAGCCATCTGCAGAGAATAAAGCATATCCATGCTGTCTGCCTATAAGTTTAAATACTTCTCTTGTAAGCAGTGAATAATCTCAGGGTAGCCTCGAGAAGTCTTTGAAACATTCGGTTAAATTATTTCAGAGAAAGAGGCTTTGCTGTGATTATTTTTTGATGTAGAGGAATGGCTGTCCTGAAGGAAGTAGCTTGCTTTAATGGTGACTCATTTAAATAAAACCTGAGGTTCCCCACAAACTCGCCTTTTCCTTCCTCCTGGATGGCCTCTGATTCAATGTTGTCAGAAAAGCTCAGCCCTCATGTTAAATATCCCTCATGTTGTCAGCTTGTTGGTCCTGTGTGTTGCTTTTAGAGGCCGCTGCTGCCCTTTCTGCAGCTCAGTAGCCACCGCGGGTCGAGTGCTTGCTGCACTAACCAAACCTGCTTAGCCCCTGCCCCCCCTCAGGTTAGAAGCCCCCTCCCCATGTCTGTCTGTCTGCTTATGTGTGTCCCCTGTACTGCTTTACACTGTGTACACTATGAGCTGCATGAGGACAATGAAGCAGAGCATGCATGCGTTTGTGCTGAGTCCTGGGTTAAACATTACAAATAATTTGGAATGCAGGTTTACTAGGGCTGCACGGTATGAGACAAATATGCAATATCTTTGAATATTGCAATAACTATATTACTTGGGATAACTATTCAGATATTAAACTCTGTTCTGCTTTCTGAAGGAAAACATTTCAAATTCGAAAAGCACCAATAAAAAAAAGAACGATACTTTCATTTTAAAGTGCACTTTTCTACTGAAATGTGATTTGATTCTCTCCTCCGAGCACATGTTGCCTCTCTTCCTGTGCTCTGCTGCGGCCCTTTTGTTGCAGCACACATTTAAATCATAGCACAGGCTTTTACTATAAGTGCATTATATTTTTCCTCCTGTCCTCAGCTTCCAAGGCCCACTTTCTAACAATTATCCCTCAAACATTGTCCCAAGTGTCTCACTGCCGATGCAAAGGAGACAACTTGATAAGACAGGCAGCACTCAACACAAACACAATTATGTGAAGAACTGTAAACTGCAGTATCTTTTGTTCAACACGCCAGACTTTCTTGCAAAACCTTTTAAGCTCCATCAGTGAGGATAAAGGGTCACGATTGGACCGACATGTGATGCTGCTGCAGAAGCTTCTCCACTCAACACATCAATGTTTGGCTGTTGTCTAAGAAATGTCGGTTTTTCTTCAGTTGCCCCAATATAAACAGATCGTTTTTCAAGATGCAGCATATGGTCATTCAGAACACTTTGTATGAACTGATTCATATGAATAGGATTAAAATATGACACAGTAGGGCATATAGGGTCGGTAATTTATCAATTCATCATCAACTTTGCCATGTACACATGCACAATAGTCCCATTGCAAAACATGCAAAGTCAAGAAAGGCCAATGAACTCAAAGAAGTGATGGTCCAAGGTGTCATTCAACAGAAAGCATGATAAACAGGAGGAAGATTAAGATAACATTGATAATATTGACACATTTTTTTTTATATAGCAAGAAAACATTTTTTTTTTTTATTATATCGTGCAGCCCTATGATACAGGATCTTTCACAGTGTGGTGACGCAGAAGTGAATGTTATGACAGTTTTCTCCATTCAAATGAATGTGTGAGTGTTTACCTTCATGTGTGTGTGTGTGATGCGTGGCAGTCTTCGAGAGCAGACTCCGGAGAGGACAGAGCTGCAGCTGTGACGAAAGACAACAAGGACAAGGTGGGTGTTTCAGTTAACCTCCGCTGAGTGTTTGCCATTGTTCCACAGCTCAGAAAGTGTTGCTCAATGTACAAACAGGTAGCTTTACAAGTTTGGAGTAGCTGAGTTTCACCTAGATGTAGGTTTGTGTGTTGTCGTCTAAAGTTCTCACCCTTTGTCTTTCTCCGTAGGAGGCTTACAGTCAAAGTAGACTTTTCCTCCGCCTCTCCCCAACTAACCCTTTCACTCCTACCCCATTTAAGGTTTGTGGGTCTCTGCGTTGAGCTCTCCCCTTCCTCACTCTGTGTATGATGTACAGCAATGTAAATACACCATGATACAGTTCAGGGCTGCAACTAAGCATCACTTTAATGATCAATTAATCAGCAGATTTGTCTCTATAATAATGATTTGGTCCGTAAAATGAAAAAGGTGATGTCTTGTTTGTTCACCCCAGAACAGTAAGATATTCAGTTTTATTAAAAAAAAATATATATGTCTGATATTTTTGCATAATTAATCCATAATCATTATTTTGTTGATGGACTAGTCTTGGACTAGCGGCTCTAATACAGTTCATGTTTTGAATATATTTCAACATGCTGTACATTCATACACTTGTTCATGTCCTAACATCTCCTCCATCTGTCTCTTTTCCTTTGTCCATTTTTGTGAAATCAAAATGTTTTGTCCTGTTTGTCTTTTCTTTCTCGCTTTCAAAAATATTTACTCACTTAAGCGGATGACAAAGACACATTCGAGATATTTTTGCACATCATCTTGTTGTAAACCACTTTAAACAACAGTTAAAGTGATCAAAATGTGATTTATTTCCCCTGGTTTTCAGGTAAGTGTCATGATGAGTGATTATTGTTTAATTATATGCAATACATCAGTTATAAAAAATAACGATATACTTAAATATAAGCATCACATTATAAATCAAGCTATATTCTAATGAACCTAATTCTAGCCTTAAGCATCTATATTACACTATTATTTCTCAGCCTAACATAGAAGTGATGAAGCAGTTGATGTAAACCAAGCATTTGCATTATCACATCTTCATCTCAACATGATTCAAGCTTCACTATAAAAAACTCTTCTTCCTCCTCACCGCTCACTGATAAACTGTTTTCCAACTCCTCCTGTGGCGTGACAGTCTGTGAAGCGTGAAGCGGTGAAGGCACCTCCCACCAGCGCCGTCCTCCCCCTGCCGGTGATGCCCCATGTGGGGGAGACTGACACCGACACACTGACGGAGAGTCCTGGAGGACCTGCAGAGGAAGAGGAGGAGCAGAGGGTGGAGCAGCAGGAGGAAGAGGAAGAGGAGGATGAGTTTGGATACAACTGGAGTGAGTCTACTTAGTCTTTTATTTAAATGTGCAATTATATACTGTGTTAGAATCAAGAGTTAAGGTCTTTTTTGACATTTAAGGGGAGACACAACAGGTGAAAAGGATAGTGTGTGTCATTTTAAATCCACTCCGGCCTATCAATTCAACCCAAGTTTAAGTGAATGTGACTTTGGAGAAATGTGCGGGATAGCAATAAACCCCTGGAAGTTTCATTTGAATAGTATAGTTAAGGAATACAGACAGGATATGCATTGACAGAAGCAACATGCGTTATCACCTCTCTGCCACTAGAGGTCCTCAAAGGCACTTTTAATGTAGTTTCTCTCATGTTCATAAATCCATCTGCAAGAAGAAGAGCACACATTCACAGTCTTTATGTGGCTGTAACTTCAGTCAAATTAAACTCTTAGCATCCGGCAGACTGCTGAATGTCAAACTGCAGCACGAAGTCACCGCTTCAAGGAGAACGGGTCACACAGTCAGACACATTCAACTCCGGAGACCGGACTTCCTGCTGCACACACCTGGGACTCTGTGTGAGAGAGATTGTGTGTGAGTGTGTGCATGTGTGTGAGAGAGTGTTCCCGTCCTGCGGGGATAAGATTGATGAGGTTGGGCCCAGGGAGGTGAGTTGTGGAGATTAGTGCAGGACTGATGGCCCAACAGTGGCAGGAAGCCCAGAACAACAGGAGAACATCGGTCTGTCTGGCGGGAGAGGGGGAGAGGGACAGGAGAGGATGGAATAGATGAAAAACTTTGCAAACAAGTTTGAGAAAAAGAAATACAAACTCAGCAGCCTGATATGTACATCTTTTGATGCCTGTGGGTTTAACCAATTCCAAACAATGACCCTTCTTTTGAGCAACACGACAGAAAATGAGAAATTATACATCAGCAGAGATGGGAATTAGAGGAGTACAAATACTTAAGTTAATGTTTTTCTGGTATCAGTACTTTACTCCACTACTTATTTTTCTGCCAACTTTTTACTTTTACTTCTTACATTTTTAACAAATACCTGTACTTTCTACTTCTTACATTTTCAAAACAGGTTACTTTAGTTTTAATGTGTGTTTGGTGGCCTGATCATTATTATTTAGAGTCATTGCGTGCCTATTGATTTGAACACGATCCGTGTATCCATCATTTCCTGGTCTTCTCTAAAGAAGAGGGACCAATGAAAACGTTGTCATGTTGCCGTTGTTCAGCATGGAAACATTCATTAGCTAACAATGACATTATTGTTCTATTAATATAAAGGGAGGTCAGGTACTCTTTAAAACAGCTGCTAGTTATGGGTACTTTTTACTTAAGTACATTTGGAAGCCCATACTTCTTTTCTTTTACTTGAGTAAAGAAGTTTAGTCAGTACTTTACCAGAGTATTTTTAAACACGAGTATCTGTACTTCTACTTGAGTAAAGGATGTGTGTACTTTTGCCATCTCTGTACATCAGTTTACATCTTTCTGTCTTCACCTTTTCCAGAGAACGTCTCCCAGCGTTACGGCGGCCTCCCGGGGGTCCTGCACATGATGGAGCTGGAGAAGGGGAGGACGGGCCTGGGTCTCAGCCTGGCCGGGAACAGGGACCGCTCCCGCATGAGTGTGTTCGTGGTGGGCATCGACCCCAACGGGGCGGCGGGCAGGGATGGACGCATGGTGGTGGGGGACGAGCTGCTGGAGGTAAGGGGGTTTGGGAAAGAAATGTCAGGATGTGTCACTACATAGAGGAATAATTCATTACTGATATATTTGTGTATCCGGTCAGATCAACGGGCAAGTCCTCTACGGACACAGTCACCAGAACGCCTCCTCCATCATCAAGAGCGCTCCTTCCAGAGTCAAAATCATCTTTGTCAGGTAAAAAAAGTACTATGAGCACACTTTCATGGCACCTATATTTCATTGTCAGACTGTTCATGATAGCATCTGACCTGAAAAAGTTCAAATCTGTTGTAATGTTGTTCAAAATACCATAGAGGGGGCTGTTGCGATTCAACAGAAGCACACAGTTGAAGGCGGAGTGTCAGAATATAAATTAAGTAACACATTCTTCATCATATAAGCTAAATGTATTGTTAAAAATATTAAATTGTAGTTCAATTTGAATACTACAACTGGAATTTACACACCACTATAGCTGCATCTACAAGGTTTTGTGTATGTAAAGTAAAAAAATTAAGTATGACAAAGTGACACTAAAGAAAAACATTCATAAGTGTGCTGTTTATGTGTACTTTTCTCCCACAATGCAATGCACAAAGGTAATCTTCATAGCCAAAACGAATAAAACAAAACACATATTTAGAAAACAATAGATACATCATTTTTTTCTTTATTACTGTAACTGGGCATTTTGAAGTTGCAGTTTATTGAAGTATCATTTCTTTGTTTTTTACTTAAGAAAATGGTCAGTGAAACAGATCAGTGAGCAGTCTACACATCAGCACAGAGTCAGACATGTTGACCTTTGACCCCTCCTCAAACAGCCCTCTCCAGAATCACACTACTTAACCTCCTACTTAATTCTCATCCCTGCGCTGACCCGGAGAGAAACACTGTGATCAGACGTGTAACTCATGGAAGAGCAGCGTTTATTTAAGAGTTATGACTCCCCCTCTCTGGAGCAGGAACACGGAGGCGCTGCAGCAGATGGCTGTGGGACCGGTGAGAGAGCAGGAGGGGAGAGACATGGAGGGGGGAGACCCTGAGGAGCCCCCCACTGAGGTACCACCCACAACATGGCCCCACAAAAACAACAGTCACACATGATGCAGATGTTAAAGCTCTGTCTGCATATAACTCACACACTTTGATTAGTGCTTCTACTTTACCCACATGCAGCTGTGGAAGACATACAAAGATACGTTACTTCAGTAAAAGTACCAGAATCTAAAATAGTCATTTACAAGTCCTGCATTTAAAATGTTACTTTAGTAAATGTATTGATAATGCTGGATAATATATCATTTTTTAACCACGTAATTATTGAAAGTATAATTTGTTCTATAAAATGACAGAAAATATTGTTTTCCGCTTTCTCAAATATGAATAGCCCTATTTCGTGATTTTCATTTAAAGTGGATATCTTTGGGCCTTTAAAGACATCAACCGTTTCCTTTGAAAATTATATTATTGTGTTGGTTTAACTAACAAATACAAATAAGAGTAGTTCATTTTTCACTACACGGAGCCAACGTTACTTTTGAATACTACTGGGTAGATAAGTAGTATCTAACTAAATAGTAAGTCAAAAGTACAATATTTCCCCTGAGATGTAGAAGTGTAGCAGAATAAAGTAGCATAGCAGTAAGTCAAAAATGTACTAAACTTGAGTAAATGTACCGAGTTATGTTCCACCCCTGCTCCTGTGTAATTTAGTTTGTACGCTGCAGCACGCTCCTAAATTGTTTTCATGCATGTTTGCTCCTAAAAGTCTCTTTGTGTGGTCCTGCAGTTCCTGTGTGACCACCAAAACCACAAACACGCTGAGCAGCCAACACACACACGTACACATGTATTTATACTTCAAACTGCACTAACTACCTGCTGCTGTTTTCCTCACAGCCAGAAACTACTGCTGCTAACGGAGACACTTCGAAATATATTCATCACGCCATAAAGCTGAAGGTGAGACACTTGACACGGGACAGACTGCTCTTTGGAAACACCAAAATAAAGACCATAATAGACAGGAAGTCTGTCTATAATGAGGGAGGTGTACACAAAAACAGTCAACGGGGTATGACAGAACGAGAGCGGTGGAGTCTGACTAACGGCCAGGAAACAGAAAAGAGACGGAATAAAAAGAAAAAGCAGTTCCAAAGGGTCATAAAGCCTCAGTTCACCCAAAAGAGAAAAACATTGCTACCTCTTGTGGTGTCTACTTTCTTGCCCTGCAGATATTTTCAGTTATATTTGCTAAGGTTTTCAGAGTCAAGCATTGAAAAACTTCACATTTGAAACATGTTAAGCAAAGAAAATAGTCCCTTCGGTAAACTGGAATATTTTCAGTTATTTTATATACCTATTCTTACATATATCATACAGTAGAAGCCTCAGAATCGGACTCATTTGGAAACAAAATTATTGTGATTCCAGTGAACTAACTGTTTAAAAAGAATGAGTAAAAAAGACCCCATGCGGTGGTGTGTGTAAAGCCGCAGGAGCTAACAGTGAAAATGTGGGAGAATCGGGGCAGCTTCTTACCTTTCTGGAGATAATTATCATCATTAATGCTTGTTTTCTGCAGCTCCATTATTTGCTGTGTGTACTCAATGCTGTGTTTGTCCAACAGGAGGACGGAGGACTGGGCATCACCTTCGTGGAGGGAAACACAGAGAACGGAGTGGAGATTCAGAGTATATCTGAAGTGAGAGGACACACAGGGAAGGTAAGTCTCACATCCTGCAGCTGATGATGAGTGCGTGTTACAAAAGTGATTACTGATCTAAACTGTGATGTGCAGGAGGGCTGTATGAGACCAGGGGACAAACTCCTAACTGTGAACGGGGAATCAGTGCTCGGCTACACTGTGGAACAGGTAAATAAAGTATTCCCTGTGAGTTTTCTTATGCCAGAAGAAAAGATGATGTCTAATGATTTATTCTCTGTTTTAGGTGAACTCTCTCCTGAGGACATCCAAAGGTCCGGTGAAGCTCACCTTCTCGTCTCTCCCGTCCACCAGTGAGGATGGGGATTGCTCCGATGGCATCCTCCCAGGCTTTCCCAGCATGCATAGCATTGCCGCAACGACTCTGAGTCAACCGGAGGCAGAGGCAGTGATGAGTGGGTCCCCTTTTTTTTGGACGTTTGACTTCTTATTCAGGGAGATACATAAAAGATCAATCAGCTCACCTTGTTCTTCCTCTGCTGCAGGTCCGAGTCGCTCCTCCACCCCCACCACGCTGACCTGTGACCCCACGACGTGTCCCATCATCCCCGGCTGCGAGACGACCATCGACATCTTCAAGGGCCGCACCGGCCTCGGCCTCAGCATCGTGGGGGGCTGCGACACCCTGCTGGTAGGAGAATATCAATGACATATATTATTTAGAATTTCTGCATTTTCCCGTCATTTTGTTAGATTGTATATTTACCTTACCCAAAATGTTCTCAAAAATGTTCAAAGCAATATCAATGTGTAATTTAAAGGTTTCCTCTGGTCTGCTGTAAAATCATTGTATCTCTTTTGAGCATTTGTCAGCAGGAAGTTGTCCAAAATGCACTTTTTTAAATCCGATTTTAAGCCTATTTTAAATGTGAAAATGCATTGTTAATCCTCTGTGGATAATTCTGCAATTTAATGTCTAAAAACAACTAAACCTTTTGGCATCACACATGTAGTAGTAGGCTTTTTATAAAGTTAGCTGCACAAAATGTATAAATTCGCTTGCAATGACCCATGGCTATTTACAAAAACTCCGAATTGTAACCTCAAACTGAAAATGTATTCACTGTTTGACCACTTTATATCAGAGGAGAAGAGACTAAACATCTCCTGAACCATCCACACTGAATGAATCCTAACCAGGAGAATCATTTCCAAAGGATACTGTAAATCCTAAAAAAAAAAAAGTACCATGACTGTACTTTAAGTCCCGACAAAACATGCCACCCAGTGAGAATTTGTGCTGGTGGTGTAACGCAGGTTCAAAAATAGCCACGGTGGCTCAGGAATGTAGGATATGATGTTGTCCTAGCCTTCCTCCTGCTCCTCCTCCTCCTCGGCACATCTATTCTGTCTGCTCATTCAGGCTTGGTGGAGCAGCTCTTTGTCCGCAGCAGACAATATCCAGCCCAGGAATGTAACCTCTGAACCCCAAATGACACTCACACTTAGAAAACAGAAACCAAAATAAGTCTAAAATAAGTCGCTACAAAGATGGACCTTATGCAACTGCTTTATATTTCCTCGCACTACCTACTGTCCTGTACCCATCTCCTTTCCTCCAGTTAAATCACTACTGCTCTCATTTTCTCTTCCTCTCACTGCAGGGGGCCATCATTATCCATGAAGTGTATGAAGAAGGAGCTGCTTCTAAAGATGGCAGACTCTGGGCAGGAGACCAAATCCTGGAGGTATAATGAGTATCACAAACGAGATAGATAAAAATGAGGCTGAACACATGTCAATAACTGAAGGAGCTTTCGAATAAATGCTTGGTTTAGTGTGAGAAACGCATCGATATACGACTCTAATATACACTATAGAAACGTTTTAGCATTACTAAGTCTTCATTTTAAGGACTTCCAGGGTTTTTTTTTCAGTAAAAGGCATCATTTCCCATCTTATTTTTGTGTTTAGCCGGCTGTTTTGTGCTTCCTTGTGAACGTATGATGCTGAGAGACAAGTTAAATATCGCAGCTCAACTTGGATTTGCCCTGCGTTTGACCTCAGGCTTTGTGAAAGAGGGAGGGGGCGGGGGAGGAGTTTTGTTATGGAAGCTCAATCAGTAGACCTGAAATTAGGGGTGTGCACTGCACACACACAAACACACACGCATTCAAGGCCTTATGACTTAATTGCTCTCTTCTTTTCATTTCTGTCCTGGAGCCAAGCTGTTCTGTTTAGATGATCGGGTCAGAGAGGAAAAGTGAAAGGAGCTTTTTTTCCCAGCGCACAGCACGCTGCAATGGGAAAAAGCTAATGGGGTATTTCCCCACTTTAATGTGGGCAGAGGAGCCGGACATCAATCCTCACGCTGACCACTCTGCTTCCCTCTAAGCGTTGTAACATTTTCATATTATGATCCAGAGTTAGATAGCTCCGCAGTTTGAAGAAATGTGACCTCAGTGGCCAAAGGAAAATTCTCTTTTAGCATGAAATGACGCTGTTAAGACTTTTATAGCTCTCTGCTGTTGCTGCATTCACTTCATATGAAAAGAGATGAAAAGGGCTCTGCTGCTTTTAAATGAATACATTTTCCCAGACAGTTTGTTTTATGCAATAAACTACATACATTTATCATGTTCTGTGGTTGTTCCTAAATGTTTCAATCTTGTACAGACTCATTTTAGCACATATTTAACTGAACAGCATTGAAATGTTTAGATCACATGAAAAAAAAAATAACTTTTATCAATTGTCAAAGTAAGGATTTCTGAAAAAGTTGGAAAAACGCTGACATTGTGTTACTGGAGACACGATAATATCTAACTTTTACACTGACCTCTCAGGTGAACGGCATCGACCTGCGAGTAGCGAGTCACGATGAGGCGATCAACGTCCTGCGGCAGACCCCCCAGAGGGTCCGGCTGGTGGTCTTCAGGGACGAGGCGCAGTACAAGGAGGAGGACCTGTGGGACTCCTTCAGTGTGGAGCTGCACAAGCAGCCGGGACAGGGCCTGGGCCTGAGCATCGTGGGGAGGAGGTGAGGACGATTAGTGCTAGGACTACAACTTAATGCATAGTGGGACAATATTACAGTTATTATTATTAAGTTAGCAAACAAGGAATCTTGGTAACCCTTAATATACGCGTAAACATAGCTTAGAACAGAATTAAATAAGAAAAAGGAACAAATAAAACCTTGAAATTGTCAAATTTTGGATTTTTTTTAAATGATGAGCTTGTCTCTTGACTATAAAAACGGATACACTACAAATATAAAAAAAAGTAATGGAAATGATGGAATGGAAATATATGAAACATAATTAAATAGTTATCTAAGAGTCACCATAGTTTGACAGTAACTGTATTCATTCTCTTTTTTAATGCAGATCACGGGATGAGAGGTAATCACATTCAGATAGTGTGTGTTGTGTATAGAGCTAGATAGATAGAGATAACATACACACACAAGACACACAGTTTGTCTTGTTATATTTAAATGTAGATACTATAGCCAGAGAAATGTGTGTGAGGTAGCATAGTGAAAATAAGGATGGCAGAAAAAAGTGCAACACTGAAATAGCTGCAACCACATAAATGCATGCATTCCCAAACACACAACCTTACAAACTACTGACCTACAAACCTCGTAGGACAAACAACTGTGGCTGCAAAGTACTAGAGCTAAAAATCACCTTTAAATTCAATCATATTTCTGACAGTACTGACAGATATGATGCTTTTTTTACCATCAGAAATTTGAAATAAGTTCAATTTAGAGCTGTGAAGGAAGCTTCACACACGTCTGACTGGTACAGGTTGTAGATCTTCTTACACAAACACCATTTGTTTTCACATAAATATTTGTAGGTAAAGCACATGTGGAAGAGGGGGAGTAGTGACTTATTTTACCTCTGGGATCATACTAAGTGAATGACCTACACATTCATATACACTGTTAAATGTGTGTTAAATGTTAGTCTGTCACACTTTTGTATAAAATCTATTTATATAATAATAGGAGATTCATTAGCTTACTGGGCTGCTGCAGGATGAAAAGCCACGTTGGTTATTTAAATGAAGTTGTAAATCATTCTCTCACATTAGTTTTGCTACACAAGCTGAAAAAACAACAATGCTCCATAGGAAGAGACAGCATAAAACTCTGGTTTGAAATGGAAAGTGCAAGCTAGCAGTTAGTGGTGAGGAGTGACAGCCAGGAGTCTGTGGCGAGGAGGATCGGATGATCTGCTCCGGTTAGTTTTATCCACGTGGAGATTGGCACCTCAGATGTGCAAGGTCTGCAGGGAGGATGTGCTTCAGGAAAACACACACAGGTCTCTGCTAGGGCTGCTCGACAGAAAGGCAAATAACTTAAACAATTTATTTGCTTGATAGAGGAATAAATTGCAGGAGAAAAAAAAAATCCGATATAATGCAGCCCGACCTCTGCATTTATCTGCATTTCCCAGAGGTCAGCGCTCAGAGTGAGCATATCTTTTGTGACTATGTTGACCTTTGGCTTCAGACAAACAATGTTGTGAAAGGGTGTTTTGAAGATTGATCATTTGAAGATTTGTTGGAGAGATAATTAGATCGAGAGAGGGGGAAGCATGGGGTTGTTGCTGAGGGGGGATGAGCAGGTGGCAATAACAACAACGAACAGCTGACTTTAATAGGTGTGAAAAACACTTGTGCTATTGCACTCAAGTTAATATCTCATGAAAATCTAGTGGGTTGAAGATGGGGAAACAGTAGTAGTCAGTTGGCATTCAATGTGATAGCTTCTCCATTTTTCTGCCTGACTGCAGCAAGCTTGTTCTGCAGTTTACGGTTTTTAAAGTAGTTAAACTGGGCAGTACAATCACCACGCTCCACCATCAGGCCAATGCTTATGTGGCAACATTTCAGACGTCCCCTGTGCAAAGGCAGATATCTATTTGTTGCCATAAATCTAAATTTAACGACAGACACTTTTTGCAGCTAGCTTGCTACCTCAGCATACACCATTGTAAATATGTTTTAAACCTAACCGACTGCTTCTTCTTTTACCTTAGTTCTACTGTGTATTGTGGTCTGCAGATTATGCACTAGGAAACCAAAACTAAATATTGAGCATGCAAAGCAGCAGACAACGTATTTTCTATTTAGTTATATTCTGAGCATATGCAGGATTCAGGATGGAAAACACATTTATTGAGGTCACAGTTGCTTTTAAATATTCCATCCTTACCTGCTGCTCCCCTGGAGGGCAAGCTACATTTGTGCAGAGGACAAATGTGAAATTGCTGGATCAATAGTGTATTATGAATGAAATGTTAAACTACAGCAGTACTGTATGTTACAATGAAGGTCAACTAGTACATTATGACTTTTACAGTAAATGTTATCTCACTGTGCTGTTCCTTTCTTAACAGGAACGACACCGGAGTGTTTGTGTCTGACATTGTGAAGGGGGGGCTGGTGGACACTGACGGACGGCTGATGCAGGGCGATCAGATCCTGTCCGTCAACGGGGAGGATGTGAGGACGAGCACGCAGGAGGCCATGGCTGCACTGCTCAAGGTATGACTGTCACACTCACGGTTGGTGAATTAAATGTATGGTTTAAACTAAATACTGTTCTCGTGTTGCAGTGCTGCGTGGGGCCCATCAACATGGAGGTGGGGAGGTTTAAAGCCGGGCCCTTCCACTCTGAAAGAAGACTCTCTCAGAGCAGTCAGGTACTGTTACTAAACATCTTTGCGGAATTACATTTGATTGTTTTCTCTGACAAAAAGTGACAACGCTAAATGACTCTGTTTCAGATGAGTGAGAATGGCAGCACCAGGTTGGTCTCTCAGGCAGACAACGGCCCTACTGACCCCGACAAACCAAACATGTGTCTAGACAGTGAGTATCATGCCCCAAGTACTCCAAGTGACAATAAATCAAGGCAATGCGAGGTTTTATGGTAGTCATATGTGCAGAAGCTAGGCGTCTTGCTGCTAACTAGCTTTAGCTAAGTAGCATGTCTGCAGCAGTCTAGGCTTTAGCTGTTATTATGCTGCTGCACTAACGTCAAATTGAGGTGGTATACACATGTAGAAATATGGCAAAAGCCTCCTATATATCTACAAAAAGTGATGTATTGTTATCCAGGATCCGCTGCTCAGTTTCTCAGATATATAAAAAAAGAAAACTGCAGAAATTAGGATGTGGAAAAGCGTCTGCACTATTAAGAAAGCAGGAAGAAACATAGGAGAAACGTGGCCCAGGTTTCTGATCATTGTGCATGTTTGTTCCCTTCACAGCTCAAGAGCATCAGGAGACCAGGACAGTGGAGTTCACTAAGGGGCCCCATGACTCTCTGGGGGTCAGTATAGCGGGGGGCGTGGGCAGCCCTCTGGGGGATATCCCCATCTTCATCGCCATGATGAACCCTGTGGGCCTGGCTGCTCAGACTCAGCAGCTCAAAGTACGACATGTGCATCTTCTCTCTCTGAATACTGAACCAAGAGTCTGCATGCCAGTAATTCTTGTGTGGGATTTAATGTGAATATTAATGATGTACGGGCATATCATTCCCACTCACTTTACTCAGTTTCAAAGGTCAAGAGCTATTAGTTAGAGACGGAGAAAAACAATTGTAGCTCTGTGTGACAGAGAGGAGGACAATAGCCATAGCGCTAACACGGGTAATAAATCTCCCACTGCTGCATTCAGATCAGTTAGCCCACTGAAGGGCTCATTGAAGTAAAAGAGGCCAATCTTGAATAGTATATTAAAGCTGCTTTATCCTTTCACAGGGAATGAGAGAGGATAACTCGACATCATGAAATTACTCAGTCGTACGGCGTGGTGAATTACATTTCAAATCGTTATCCACATCCTGCTATCATGGAGAGACTTTTGTCAAGAAACAATACATTTATAGAAACTAGATAACATGACTACTGCATACTTAACATTGCTTATACATATGCATACGGTCTTTAAGGGAATAAAAGGGCTGCAACTCATGATTACTTTCTTTGTAGATTAATATGCCGATCATTTTCTAGATTCATCGATTAGAAGAAAACATTATAACAAGTCATAGAACCAGCTTTCTTTACATTTTCTCTGCTGCCAACTGTCTTTCCAACGTGTTTTGCTCTTGTGTCTTTTTTAAAATTGCACGAAACTCTATTCCAGATTGGGGACCGCATCGTCAGTATCTGTGGGAGCTCGGCTGAAGGCATGACCCACGCTCAGGCTGTCAGTCTGCTGAAGAGCGCCACAGGCACAATACAGCTGCAGGTACACACACACGCTTTTTCAATTGTGAGAAGAGTACCTGAAGTCACCCTGATGGAGCCCTAGCACCTCACCTTGTCTGTATCTTGCAACATAAGAGAGTGTGTGTTTTGGTATACCTACAGGTGGTAGCAGGCGGCGACACCTCTGTGACCGGACCCCCTCCGGAACCCCCGGCTACTGCTCTTACTCCCAGCTGCATCTTCCAGGACGACCTCGGGTATCCGCTGTTTACTATACAAAGAAGAAAACAATTATGGAGCTGCAAGTAGAAGGGGATTTTTTTTTTAACAACATTGTCCGTGTTTGCTTCAGCCCCCCTCAGTATAAAAGCATCAATCTGGAGAGAGGACCTGATGGCCTGGGCTTCAGTATAGTGGGGGGGTACGGTAGCCCCCATGGAGACCTGCCCATCTACGTTAAAACCGTGTTTGGAAAGGTACAAGACACAATGCTCTGTTTGTATATTTGCAGAACTGGAAGAAATATGTATTTAACTTTTGTATGTGTGTTTTAAAGGGGGCAGCGGCGGAGGACGGCCGACTGAAGCGAGGGGATCAGATAATGGCGGTTAACGGGCAGACTCTGGAGGGCGTCACTCATGAAGAAGCCGTGGGCATCCTGAAGAGGACCAAAGGGACCGTCACACTCACTGTCCTCTCATAATACACACTCACACATGTCAGAACTCAAATTGATTAGTGGGATGTGCTTAAATCTCCAGAGGTGAAATGATCACACTGCTTTATTTCCTGATATTCACGAAGGAGCTTGTTATCATTATTGAATGTAGCTTTAAACACTGTGATCCACGTAAGCCTACAGCACATAGATTAAAAAAATATATGTTCCCTGAACCAGTCATGTCAAGTTAAGTTCATAAAAAGTTCTTATTTTAATCTCAAAGAGGTTGAAAATAGTTTAAGGAACAACTCTCTTACATTCCCTGGCTCTGGATTGAAGTATTTTCCTGTATTTAAATGAATTGTTTGATCAATATTAACACAAAAGTATTTCTACAGAGAAGCCTGTTTTCAACGTTTTTAGCAGTCTGATGTCTATTTATACCACAATCAGAGGATGAAACAGCATGCAACTCCCTCGAGGTGATTAGCAGAGTAGCTAAATTGAGCTAATTTCTGTATTAGCTGTAAGCAGCAATTCATCGTGTTGATTTTCCTGAAAGTATTCAAAAATACATAGCCTAAAGTCACTGTTGTTCTAGCAAAAGTGTCCAAGAGAACATTATTAAATGATGATGGCTAGAAGTCTGTAAAAAACGGAAAAAATATGTGAAGTCCTTAAAACTAAGAAGTGTGTCGTCGGAGTGCACACTTTACTAAATGAGGAATTGTTTGTGTGTTTGTGTGTCCTACTCACTGAAATATATTGCTGCTAAAGCCGATATATAAAAAGGTATTATGTAAGTATTCTGAATTCTTTAGTATTAAGTGCACAGAAAAGCAAAAGGCCGGCTCACTAGGTTTGACTCTTTGAGGGTTTGATTTAATAACGGACCTGCTCTCTTACTGTTTACTGAAAAAAAGTCATGTAGCGTGTAGCTCCTGAAGGCTTTAGGCATGTGTTGTGTGCTCTAGTTTCTTTCTCTTCTCTGTTTTATCACCATAAATATGCATTTCTAGCTCTGTCAATGGGACAGTATTGAATTTATTCACACTGAATTAAATAAAAGTGACCTTTGGATTCAATCTATGCGTTTCACTTTTCTTGTGCCTTGTAGGCCTATATGCAAAAAGCAGACATCTTCCTCCTTCTTAAAATAATCTAAAAACACAATTAAATTCAGAAACAAATGCTCTTTTAAAAAGCCTGTTGAGCATTGTGAAGTGCAGGGCAGCTGTTACTCCATCTAACTGCTTGAGTTATTGTACAGCATATTCACAGCTGCCATACATCACACAAATACATTTTCTATAAAGGAGATAAAAGCAATTCACTGTCGCATTTATGAAAGGGGGGAGTCACAACGGGTTGAAATTAAATGCACATGAAGCGAGATTTATAGACAGAGGATAATATAGACTTGCTTGAATAGACTCAGTTGTCACCTGAGACTTAATAAAGCCTGAATGGAGAGAGACACAGCTCTCCATTAAAACATGACATCCCATCTGTCTCTGCAGTTGCTCACGGCCTGTCTCAGCCCTATGTGTACTGTATGTGTGTGTGGGGTCCTGTGCATGAAGTACGCTTCCTTAAGTCGGTTCATGGGTGCCAATTAATCACAGGAGTCATGCTAGAACTTTGAAGCCCACCGTCTAATGAGGTCTGGGGGTTGTTCAGGAGAATTAGCTCAACTGTTCACCCTAAGGTCAACAGTTACCTGCAGCTGCTGCTAGCTAACGCAGCTAGCACTCCCCAGCTGAGCTTTCCTACAGCACCTGTTGCTTTAGTGGCTCCCCCATGTTGAACCCTCATGCAGCCTCCCCAGGGTGCAGCAGACGCAGGTTGGTTTACACAACACTTGTCTGCACAGGCCCCTCAGATGTGTGATCAGATGTGGCCACTGCGTCACGCTCGGCTTGAGTGTGGGCGAGTGGTGTAAAGTTTCCACGTCAATGGCGCCATAGTTTAAAGACTGCATTATCAAGATGTCAATCAGGCCTCTATGTACATTTTCAAGGGATATGACCATGAACAAGAATCCATTCTTGGATTCATAAAACATTTTTAAAACAAAGACATGTCCTGTTGCATGACAAATGTTGACTTCATGACCCTTCAGATGTAACCTGTGAGATAACGTTCAGAGCCCAGTATCATCATGACTCATGCACACTGGCTATCAATAGTTCAAGCAAACAGAAACCCATGGGCAAGGCATGATGACTCAGCAAACATGTCCAAAGAGACACCATGATGCTAAACCGCTAACATGGGATCTAGCCTACTCAATTGTTGATTTAGAAATAGGAACCAGTTGGTGCAAATGTTTTAATCATGACAAAGTTGGCCTCAGAACATGGATAACATTACGCATGCTAAACATGTTGCATTGATACTGTGGACCTGCCATGCTAGCATTAGCATTTTGACCCAGAGGCAGATTTGTATTCTTGTTAAAAACTGGCAGCTCTCGGAAACATTCCCACAGGAGGTCTGTTTTTCTAACAAGTGTTTGAAAATAATTTTGCCATATCAAACCTGCCCTGACATATCAAACTTTCGCAATGAAAACACGCAGCTATAAGACACGCTCAGTTGGACAACATCATAGAGTACCTGAGAGTCAGGCATACTTCGCCTTTACTGAGTAGCGAGGGTCTTAAAAAGGTCACATTTCCTCACAATGACACGCCCTTGAATACACACACAGAATTACATTCCGCTGTGACAGTGGTGTAAAATTGCTTCTTGAAGTACACAAAGCTCTCTCTTCAGCAGCTTTGAAGGAAGGAGCCAGGTTTCTGAGGATCGTTTGACCTTTCTGCGCCTGTTGCCTCGAGTCTTCACTGAGCTGTCAGAGAGATTAGCACATCACCGGCACACACAAGCCTCTGCATTGTTCCTGTCAGAGTACACTAGTTGCTCTTTAACAGTCCCTCCTCAACACACACACACACGCACACACACACGCACACGCACACGCACACACACACGCACACACGCAGATTGGGTGGAGTTGCTGGTGACACATGTCAGAGTAACATTTCTTTCTTAAATGTATGTATTGCATTTAATAACCAATAAACATTGGAATGTGTGCAAGCAGCTCATCATGTCAGTTTCTTGTTTTCTCAAGATTATTATGCTTGATTAAACTTTATTGAAAGATTAATGATAACCACAAACCGTACGGCATTATGTAACCTCAGAATCATAAACAAGTTTTACTACTCAAACTGGTAGTGCAGAATTATTGCTAGTATGGCGAGAGAAAGAGCATTTTGCATGACAAATTTGACCAAGCCTTGCTTATATGGCGTTTCCTGTAGTTTTACATATCTCACCGTGGTGTCTCGTTTCCAGAACAAACAAAGACATATAACTATGCTGCTTTTTTTAGAGGCTGACATTATGTTTCTCTAAGTAAACATTAACACAAACGCATACTTCCCTTCTTCTCCATAACCCACAATTATGCCATACGTTGGGAGCGGGAAGCTGGGTGTTATCATGATTTATAGAGCAGTCATGATAGCTCAGCATTTTAAATAAAGCTGGAGTTAACGTGAGCAACGATGACATCATGCAGGTCGGGTTTCCTCACCTTTGTCATGTTTGCACAAAGTGGAGTGTGAGGGCTGCGCCTTGTGTTTACACAGCCAACAGAGCACATGCTCAATGAGGGAACACCAAACACTGACATTAAATGCTCAACCCTCAACTGCAGTTATCCCCTGTTAGCAGTACAAACAGTGAGCTCAGCAGACAGTATGTAATGAGCTGGCTCAAACTCTATCTCTGATAACAGGAAGCTGCTTCACCACAGGTTAAACACACCTTTACGTGTTCCTCTTGGTATGTTTGCATTTTAGTTACAGCTTCAAATTACATCACCCAGCCGCGGCCTGATAAGGCTCAGCAGTGTGTAATCATCATTTTATGAGCTGTGTGTAAAGTAATGCAGTGACACAGACGCTGGGCAATGTTTGCAGAGCTGAGATTGGGGGGATCACCTGTGGGGGGGGTACATGTCTGACCTTGTAGGAGGACACAGCTGCAGGGGTGTGCGAGCAGCATGTAATCGAATAATGCATGCAAAGTGTTGCTTTTCTAAAAAATAACAATAATTTATTTAACTGAACATGTTCTGACTTTATCAGTTTTAAAAGGAACACAGTCCACAGGTATGCTAGCTGCCATAAAAGGCTGGTTAGCTTTGGGAGACACTTTCCTGAGTTTGAAAACCGCATACAGTAGTTTAAAATACAATAGGAGTTTATCAGCCAAGGATTACTTAATGTTTGATTACGATGAGGTTAGAAGCAGAAATACTCATACGTGATCTAACAAGAATGCATGCCGCAGCCTTTTGAACGATGACATCACAGTGTGGTTGAGCAAGGTTACATTTTTTTAATTTGTTTTGCTCTATTGGACTTGCCTCATTCAAATGAATGGGAAGTCTGTGTTTTTTCACACAGGGAACAAAGTCATCTGATTGAGACCTAAGTTAAAGGGCCCCATTTTTATTTTCAGGTTGATATAAGTATTCAGTGCCTCTACTGCTTTAAAGTTCAGAAAGGTATTTATTTTTCTCATACTGCCTGTGCTGCAGTACATATTTTCCCCCTCTGTCTGAAAAGATAAACTACCTCTGGAGGGAACTTTGGAATTTTAGCCTTTGCAGACCATTTACATGCACACAAACCTATATGACACACTACAGGAAAGGGAAAATCCCAAAAAGCAGAATATGGCCACCTTTAGGGAACGTAAAGGGACATTAAAGTTGAGTAATCATCATCATGAACACATGTAATGAATATATCCAATGGTAAAATTATACAAACAACTAAATGTAAACCTCCTCGAAATAAAGTCAGAGAACACCCGAGTAATTCTCTATGTCCGCCTCACCCATAAACTTCTGTACAAATGTTGTGGCAGTCTGTTGAATAGTTGTTGAGATCTGTGTGAGCCAAAGTGAAGGACACATCAATGAGCTGACTATGCTTCTAGTTAAAAATCAGTAACATACCAAAGGTCGAGCAAACACACCGCTGCTGTTCCACATGTGTTAAGGCTGTCTGTTATTGACCTGCATGTCTCTGCATTGCTGTGTAAAATCTAAGGCTTCCTATTGACTTTAAGGCAGCGTGGTGATGAAAGCTCATCGACGCCTCCGGCCCTCGCTGTACATTTTATCTTCCCTCAGCAAACCTGCCTGCACCATTACACTGAATCGAGTGTCAATGAGGAGCCATAAATAACCTGTTTTCTGAGAGTGCTGCTTGCCCAGGCTTTGACTTGAATGTCTAACTTTTGATTCACGCTGATGCTCCCTTTATTATCCTGAGGATGACACTTTAAGAGCCTGTTCTCAATTCCACATTTACGACCCAGGCTTTAACCCCTCTTAAGACTGGCTTACAATTGTTGGATGTGAATGGACGGGTTATGGGGTGGTTGTAAACCTTTGAAAATGTCAGATTAAAAGCTGCAGTCCTTTTTACATTTTGCACATCTTGGCATCTTACCAAGACTTTGCTGCTCACTTGTCTTTATACTGTCACAAAAGCTTTATAAAGTCATAAAACTCCGCCTGAGTGGAGCTATTTACTTAGCAATGCTTTTGCTCTAAAGTCAGAAAGATATTCTTTGTTATTCTTTTTTATTATCATCTTGTCTTTTCAGTTGCACTTCACTGAAGGCTTCAGAAAACAATCTATACGGGGGTAATCTTTGTATTTTCTAGACATGCTCAGGCAGACCCAGGAACAGTAAAAAAAAAAGACAGTCAACAAGTACCTAAGAAGTGAGATTTAACCTTAGCAGACATGGGTTTGGTATCAAAGTGAGTGTGAAATACATTATTAGTTTCAACAGAGTATAGGTTGTGGCGCTCAATATAAAAAGTCTAAAGGTGACTTTCATCAGTTTCGTTCAGCAGTAGCTGTTCTGCTGCGTCAGTGCTGAGGGTGCTGCTGGGCTGCTCCCCTTCATTGGTCTGATTTATGAGGACTTCCTCTGCAGAGAGCCTCAGCAGGGCTTTAAAACATGTTTACATGCCCCTGACCAGAAG